AGCCCTGCTTTTTTACAGCTTTTCTTAGAAACGGCACATCGTGCAGTGACGTTCTATACATTGTTGGAAAGAGCATCGAAAGTTGTATATTTTATTAACTTTTCACTTTGATATATCTGCAACGTAAAAAGTTATTAAGCAACAAAGACGCTCCCATTGACTTTCCATGTTAAAAATTTTAATTTTCAAATGAACTTTATAAGAAAAAATGAGTTTTGCCAGCTTAACGAAGCATAATTGCATGTACTATGCTCTTTCCTCTACAAGATATAAGAGTTTGGACGAAATCTATCTCTAAAATTTTGTACAAAGATCGAATGAAAATGTCTCTGCAAAGTCTCGACATCGCCGTCCATTGACTTAACATGGGACACAGCAAAATTCCAACTTTGACCTCGTGCAAAGACACGTTCCGAGATTCTGAGAGGTATACAGCGCACACTGGCGTGTACCCAAACGTGTTTGCCATAAAATGCTGGGAAGAAAACCACCTCTTCCTTGGCTCGTTTTCCCGCCATTCGCGATCGCGCAAAAAGTGTCCAAACCCCCGTTGACTTAACATGGGAAAAATGGAATCGCACGTGCCACGCGCAAAAGACTTCTTAGCGAGTACCGACCGGTGCCATCAGGTAGATCGCCTGCGGGAGCCCATACCCTGGAATTTTTACGAAGATTGAGCGATTCGTTTAGGCCCCTACCAAGTTGCCCCAATTCGCTGCCAGACTTGCAAAACATAGCCCGGAGAACGACCGCTCCGGTTGTTTTTCAATAGAAAAACACAATTCTAACGAATAGTGTTTGTCTTTTCAAACAACCTGCGGTTACCAGCATCTGCGATGCTGGGCTCCGCATCGCGGGACCGCAGGTTGTTTGAGCAAACACCTTTGTAAACGCAGCAAAAACGCCCGCCGCCAAACGAGAGGATGAGCCTTGCACGTGCAGACCGGAGTCGGTGTGCTACGGACTGACGTGCACGGCACCCTATTCGCCGGTCTATAGTGGTGTGCCAAATTTGAGTGCAATCGACCCAGCCATTTTTGAGATCTGGAAGCGTCGCCCACACTGCACTGCACGTGCGCACGTGCAGCCTGGGTCCCAATTGACTTGTGCACGGCACTCTATTCGCTGGTTTCTAGCGATGTACCAAATTTAATCTGAATCGGCCCAGCCGTTTCCAAGATCTGGAAACGACCCCTACACGTGCGCACGTGCAGCTGCACCCCAACCGTGGCACATGAAAATACATACTTACTGACTTGTACACGGCACCCTACTAACCAGTCTCTAGTGGTATGCCAAATTTGAAGCACAGTCGGCCCAGCCGTTCTCGAGATCTGGAAGCGTCAGCCTGCACGTGCGCACGTGCCAAATGAGTCCCATCTGAGTTGTGCACGGCACCCTACTCGCCGATCCCTAACGGTGTGCCAACTTTGATCACAATCGGCCCAGCCGTTCTCGAGATCTGGAAGCGTCACCCTGCCCGTGCGCACGTGCAGCTGCCACCCCAACCGTGACACACTGGAAATGCATTGCCCGGCGGTTGCCTACATCCATGCCAAGTATCAGCTGCAATCGGCAAAGTAACTACAGAGTTATTAGACTTGTTACCGAACTGAGACCTCTTCGTTTTGCACGTGGCACGTGCATTAGGGGTCACACATACGCATCGAGAGTAGCACACTACGTGTCAGAAAGGGAGGAGCTATCCCACACAAAAGACCGCGAGTGAATCGGTCCAGTGGTTGCAGAGATATAAGGTTTGTAAAGGCGCCCCCACGGCGGCCGACTGCTAATAATTAGCAATAATCAGTGTCGCGTCCGCACATGGGAGGTGTCCCCTTCACCTGTTCGTATATTCTAATGTGTTTGGGTTCAAGTCACAGTCGAGCCCTGCTTTTTTACAACTTTTCTTAAAAACGGCACATCGTGCAGTGACGTTCTATGCATCAGTGGAAAGAGCATCAAAAATTGTATATTATATTAACTTTTCACCTATATATCTTACTAATGATAAAAGTTTTAGAGAAATAAAGATGCTCCCATTGACTTTCCATGTTAAAAATTTTCATTTTCAAACGAACTTTATTGGAAAAAACGATTTCTGCCAGCTTAACGAAGCATACCAGCATGTACTACGCTCTTTCCTCTGCAAGATATAAGAGTTTGGGCGAAATCTATCTCTAAAATTTTGTACAATGAACGAATGAAAATGTCTCTGCAAAGTCTCGACATCGCCGTCCATTGACTTAACATGGGACACAGCAAAATTCCAACTTTGACCTCGTGCAAAGACACGTTCCGAGATTCTGAGGGGTATACGGCGCACACTAGCGTGTACCGGAACGTGTTTGCCATAAAATGCTGGGAAGAAAACCACCCCTTCTTGGCTCGTTCTTCCACCATTCGCGATGGCGCAAAAAGTGCCCAAAACCCCATTGACTTAACATGGGCAAAAATTGAATCGCACGTGCCACGTGCCACGAGGTTTTAAGCGAGTAGCGACCGGTGCCATCAGGTAGATCGCCTGCGGGAGCCCATACCCTGAAATTTTTACGAAGATTGAGCGATTCGTCTAGGCCCCGCTCAAGTTGTACTGATTCGCTGCCAGACTTGCAAAACATAGCCCGGAGAAGGACCGCTCCGGTTGTTTTTCAATAGAAAAACACAATTCTAACGAATAGTGTTTGTCTTTTCAAACAACCTGCGGTTAGCACGTGCAGTTGCACCCCAATCGTGGCACATGGAAATACATACTAAATGACTGCAACCTACTGATCGGTATCAAGCGTTATGCCAAATTTGAACACAATCGGTCCAGCCGTTCTCGAGATCTGGAAGCGTCACCCTGCACGTGCGCACGTGCAGTTGCACCCCTACCAAGACACATGGAAATGCATCGCCTGGAAAGTGTCTACCTCCATGCCAAGTTTTAGCGCAATCGGCCCAGTAATTACCGCGAGCTATTGCGCTTAGGTCTCTAGCGGTGTGCCAAATTTGAGTGCAATCGACGCAGCCGTTTTCGAAATCTGGAAGCGACACCCTGCACGTGCGCACGTGCAACCTGGGTCCCAATTGACTTGTGCACGGCACCCTATTCGCCGGTTTCTAGCGATGTACCAAATATAATATGAATCGGCCCAGCCGTTTCCAAGATCGGGAAACGACCCCTACACGTGCGCACGTGCAGCTGCACCCCAACCGCGGCACATGAAAATACATACTTACTGACTTGTGCACGGCACCCTACTAACCAGTCTCTAGTGGTATGCCAAATTTGAGCACAGTCTGTCCAGCCGTTCTTGAGATCTGGAAGCGTCAGCCTGCACGTGCGCACGTGCCAAATGGATCCCATCTGAGTTGAGCACGGCACCCTACTCGCCAATCCCTAACGGTGTGCCAACTTTGATCACAATCGGCCCAGCCGTTCTCGAGATCTGGAAGCGTCACCCTGCAGGTGTGCACGTGCAGCGGCACCCCAACCGTGACACATGGAAATGCATTGCCCGGCGGTTGCCCACATCCATACCAAGTATCAGCGCAATCGGCAAACTAGCTACAGAGTAATTAGACTTGTTACCAAACTGACACCTCTTCGTTTTGCACGTGGCACGTGCATTAGGGGTCACCCATACGCATCGAGAACAGCACACTACGTGTAAGAAAGGAAGAAGCCATCCCACACAAAAGACCGCGAATGAATCGGTCCAGTGGTTGCAGAGATATAAGGTTTGTAAAGGCACCCCACAGGCGGCCTACTGCTAATATTTAGCAATAATCAGTGTCGCATCCGCACACGGGAGGTATCGCCGTCACCTGTTCGTATACTCTAATGTGGTTGGGTTCAAGTCACAGTCGAGCCCTGATTTTTTTACAGCTTTTCTTAAAAACGGCACATCGTGCAGTGACGTTCCATGCATCAGTGGAAAGAGCATCAGAAGTTGTATATTATATTAACTATTTGGACATTTGGGGTATTCGAATGGTTGTCTTGGCGTGTTGTAAGAGTTTGCGAGGTTTGTGTTTCTCTTGCTCCTAGATGTTTGGGTTCGAGGTTGTTATTATGAGTCGTGACTGCTGTGTGGATGTTTTTATTTGTATTTTTAGGATGTCTTTATACTTTTCATCATGGGCGGATTTCCCAGACGCATTTACCTCACTCGGTAATCGTCCTCACCAGCTTTAGTTTCGTGCGAGTCATCAGTTCTAATAAGATAATGGCTTTCCCGGATCCCGTATTACCGTCATTCATTTAGGCGGTTATATACAATAGAGCCGGCGTTGCGGCACAGCATACATTCAGGCGTTTGACGCTTCTGCCATCTAGCGAGTTAAAAGGAATATAATGTGTTTTCGGCTGTTACGATCAGATCCGTTAAAGCATCAATGTCAAACTTGATATTCGCCACAAATCAATGACTCTGATTCGGTAAACTAGGTTCCCGGAAGGATCAGGTGTGCCCCCCCCCCTCCCCTCCATCCCAAACTTATAGCCACTTACGGCTCAGCCTCTGGTGGCAGTTTCGCCCGCGGCGCGGCCTACGCCATGTTATGTTCTGCGCGTTACTAATACGTATCAAATAAAGCGATAATCCAGAATGGAGGATCGAAAGCATGCGATAGCAGTGCCCTCAGTACCGTTCCTCCAATTCTGGCCCAAGGCAACGCAAGAGCGCTGCCGGCATCTAGTAGCCGTTTTCACGACGGGCTATCCGGCGATTGCACCTGATTTGACCAAATCTGCACCTAATTTCTTTTACAGCAAATATCTTCATTTTATGAATTTATTTCAGTGTTTTAATCGATGATGCTCTCTGATAATGTGACAAAGCAGGCATATAAGCAATTAGTGCAACCCTAGCTGATAGCTGCTAAGAGACACACTGAACCTGATTTGACCAAATCTGCACCTAATCTGTACCAGATGTGCACCAGATGTGTACCAGATGGCCGTCGTTAAAACGGCTAATGTGTTGCCACGAATCGCATAACATAAAATCAAGTTCATCATTGGAACGCATGTAAAAACACGTCCTTGGTATATTCAGCCGGACATGTGAACATCTGAAGACGAATCGCATAACATAAAATCAAGTTCATCATTGGAACGCATGTACAAACACGTCCTTGGTATATTCAGCCGGACATGTGAACATCTGAAGACGAATCGCATAACATAAAATCAAGTTAATCATTGGAACGCATGTAAAAACACGTCCTTGGTATATTCAGCCGGACATGTGAACATCTGAAGACGAATCGCATAACATAAAATCAAGTTCATCATTGGAACGCATGTAAAAACACGTCCTTGGTATATTCAGCCGGACATGTGAACATCTGAAGACGAATCGCATAACATAAAATCAAGTTAATCATTGGAACGCATGTACAAACACGTCCTTGGTATATTCAGCCGGACATGTGAACATCTGAAGCTCATATCACCACGCCTCGCCAACACATTACATCGCATTACATCGCCAACACATTACATCGCCCGTGTCACGTGTTCGTTATTTATATGAAATTTCGCCACCACGCCACGCGGAGTGCGCGGCCAGGAGTGCCCCTTAACCCAATGTGGCTGGAACAACATAAGTCAATAAATCAACAGCTTTACGTTACAATTAATATAGCCACACCACTCCCTGCTATGCCAAAAAAAGAGAAAAATTTCGCCACCACGCCACACTAAATGTGCGGCCAGGAGTGCCCCTTTACCCAATGTGGCCGCAAGGCTTAAATAACAACTACAATGCAACTACAATGCAAATGTTAGGCCACACCACTCCCTGCTAAGCCGAAAAAGAGGCCCCTGGGGGAGGGGGCCCTGGAGAATCACTGTGCCTTGAACTCAGCCACAATGATTCTCCAGAGTTCACGCCTGACCGCTGCGTAGCACGCCGCGGTCAGGTGTACCCCGTCACTTTCATAGCCCTCAGGCGAAAGTGACGGGGCCGACACGGACACGGGCGGGGGACGGCCCGGGACCCAGCCCGACGCCCACGGTACGTTCACCGCAGAGGCAGCGGCGGCAGCGGTGGCGGCGGCGTCGGCGGCGGTGGCGTCGGCGGCGGCGACAGTAGCAGCAGCAGCGGTGGCGGTGGCCGCGGCAGCGGCAGCGGCAGCGGTGGCGGCGGAGACGGCGACGGCCGCGGCCTTCACCGCCTTCCCGGTGGCACGGGTAGCGTCCGCGGCGTCGGCCGCCACGCGCACGACCCGGGCTGCCGTCGCCTCTTCGGACGCACTGAGCAGTGCTTCCGCCAGCTCTTCAGCTGAAGAGGCGGCCACTCTGGCACAGCTATCAGCCGTCTCGGCGGCAGCGAGGCTGTTCCTAGCGGCCATCCTAGCGGCCCGTATGGCCGCATCTGGGCCGCCGTCGCCGCCACCGACCTCCACCTCCATCGGTGGAGCGGCTGGACCCGCGGCCGACTCCGCCGGCTGCGCCGCCACATCACCGGCAGGGCGTTCGGCCGGGCGCTGGGTGCCGCCGGCAGGCCTGGGCGATTGTGCGTCGCTACCCGCCAGGTGGCGCCGCACAATCACCTCTACATCGAGGAACAGGGCCCCATTGTCTTTCGCGACCAGTCGGAGGGACTCCGACAGCTCGCGACAGGCAATGAGGCCCGCCCTCGATGCGTCCTGCAGGGGCACCACACTCTCGATCACCGGGCGGATGCCCGGGACCTGGAGTTGCAGCGCCCGGACGAATGTCTCCGTGCTGGCGATGACGGTGGCGGCGGCGGTCGGGGCGTTCCGGTACGGAGGCACCGGAGACGGCTCCCGACCCTCCTGGAGACGCCGACGCCTGGCCTGTCCGTCTGGCCTCGGGAGCAGCGCCGGCCCGCCAACGCTGACGACGGCGTAGGAGGGCCAGACACTCTCCGTCTTCAGCCGGACGGCGGCGGCTAGCATCGCGCTCCAGTCGCCGGCGGAGTGGCCGCCCATGCCGCCGGCGGTATATCCCCGCACATACTGCGGGACGACGGTGTGCCGCCCGAGCGTAGCCCCGAGCTCCAGGTCGCGGCCCAGGGGGAACGCTCGGGCGGCAGCGTGGCTGTTTCCAAACAAGGCCACCCTTGCTTCCACGTACATACGCGGCGGCAGCGACTGGTCCCGCCGGCCGCGCGCCCGCTCCGGTGTCCGCCTGGGACTACCGTTGCGGGCGCGGCTGCGGCTGCGACTCCGTGAGCGGCTCCGTCGGCGGCTATAGTGGCGCCGCCACGGCCGTCCACGATAGTCCTATGCAAACAGACGAAAGAGACGAAGTTACCCAACTGTATGTGACAACGAACACTCTTAAAGGGACTATCCCACCTTCAAAAAAGTACCATTTAGGATTCGGAAATGTTGCTATTGGAAGTCACTGATAATGCCAGGTCAGGTCACAGGTCAGGTTACCAAGGGTCAGCACATATGAACCCAACTTCAGTAGGGCTGTGCGATGCATGTTTTATGGCCAATTTTTCATTTCCAACTCAATGGTGCTGGTTATAAGACCATCAGGTACGGTTAAGGTTACTTTCTGCTGGAGGTCATGTCAATGTCGGTCAAAAAAGGTCAAATTTCAAAGTTGATAGTTTTGCATAAAACGGGTATTGATTCGATGCAGCTCGTCACGGCGAGTCTAATGGTGGACTTTGTTTTGCGCTATGTTGTTTAGAATTGCGGTAACAATTAAGTTTGAAAATTTTAAGTCGTCAAATTTGAACAGTTTTTTTTCGCTATGATTTGGCCAAAAAAGGGAGGTATCGATATCTAAAATTTGGTATGTGAATAGAAGTCTGGAACATTTTTTATGTATCATCAAAGCTATAGGCATGACAGCTCTTCCCGCGAAACCTTTTTTGGGTCAAAAATGGTAGAAATGTCGTCACTCCGACGTCATTAGCGGCCAACCTAGCATAGCCTTTGGATTTTTTTTTTGTCACAATTTGTAAAAGTTATTCCCGGAAGGGTACTAAAAGTTTGGTGACGGTCGGCGCAGCGGTTCTGGAGATATATATATATATATATATATATATATATATATATATATATATATATATATATATATATATATATATATATATGTATGTAAAACTAAAGGGGGGGGAATGCTCCCCCACCGCCTGGAAGGTTAACCCTCAACCGTATAGGGGGGTCGAACGGACCCTCCCCCCTCCGTTTTTCGCAAATAACTCTCGTAAAAAGCGGTCGATCGCGGCGAATATAAAAAACTGAAGGGGGAAATGCTCCCCCACCGCCTGGAAGGTTAACCCTCGACCGTATAGGGGGGTCGAACGGACCCTCCCCCCCCCCCCTCCGTTTTTCGCAAATAACTTTCGTAAAAAGCGGTCGATCGCGGCGAAACTTTTAGTACCTACCCTCGAGTCAATCAATTTCACACCTACTCTAAAACAATTCACGACCCTGACCCTAATGACCATTGACCTGTGACCTATTTCTTGAGGCAATGTTTGGCCAGAATTGCGATTCGGCGTATGTCGGCTCGCATTAGCCACGCTTTCGCAGTCTTTTCGTGGTTTCAAGCGTTCAAACATGTGATATGATGTCGATCTCGGTCACATGCATTAGGGTTGGAGTCAAGGTCACCAGAAGGTCAGGTCAGGTCATTGACCTTTGATATCCGCCCCACGAGAGGGGCTATGGTCCGTGTGAAACTTCAGAGTGGATTATTGGAGAAAGACAGTGAAAACGACAGTGAAAAGCTCGCAATAAGACGACGCTTGGAGCAATGGGAACAAAGTCAAGTCCAATGCACATTGGGGAGGGGTGGGGGGGGGGCTATTCATAGCCCCCCCCCCCGTTTTTCTGCAATAACTTCCAAACTGCTTAACGTATCGACGCCAAATTTTCAGTACCTTCGGCTGCATCAATGTGACACCTTGTGTCAAAATATGAACTTCGTAGCTACTATAGGTCGGCCGGAAGTGACGTCAGAGTGACGTCATGTTTGGCCGATTTCGACGCAAAACATTAACCACAGCAATCGCTCCCAAGAGCTTAGTTTTTAAGCTAGATCCAATATCATTGCATGAGAGAACTCAAAATAGACTGTGCTATCAAACTCCTATCTCGGATTATCAAATTTTTGAAAATTTAGAAAATTATATATAATAAAATTCTAAATACCGTAAAATGGGGTGTTAAGGGACAGTGGGGTGTTAAGGGGCAGTTGCTTGGGGAAAACTTTTAGTCATATTACGTTCCTAATTTTGGGTTTTTGTTGATGACAGAAGGGTACTTTTTGGTTCTGTTTACCTTATAATAAGCACATTTTTCAGAAGCGCTAACTGCATTACCTGTAATTGGCTAAAAAGGCTTTTACTGGTGAATGAACCTGACTTGTTTTGTGACAGAATATGCAAAACATTTCAATAAATAAATTTTGTGCCCTTTCACACCCCAATTGTGGGCTTTGATGACCATCTCTTGGAATGAAATAGGTGTCCCTTAACACCCTACATTGGGGTGCTAAGGGACAGTGATGAAAATGATAAAAAATAATATATAGGTATATATTTTTAAAACTTGAATATAGCAGTCATGTAAAGCACCAAATTCCACATAAGATGCTGACAATTTGATGCTTCTATCTCCAACCCTTCTTAACCCTCGCCGGCCGAGGGGGGGGGGCGGGTGCCGCCCCCCCCATAGGGTTTTTTCGCGATAGCTCCGAACACGCTGGCGATAGAGAGCTGAAACTTGGCATACCTGACCTTTGATCCAAGCCGGATCTTTTGACACCAACCGCATTTTTGGGTCAGGTCAGGTCACTGACCTATGACGTCATAAGTGAACCTCTGCACGGTCTTCAGATGTCGCAACTTCGCAACGCCCTCACTGCCAGAGGAGATGTCACAGGGAAATGAAACTTGCAGGATCTAGTATCCATTATGAGTCCCACAACTTGTATATCTCGGATTTTTCCTAAAGGTCATATGAGGTCAGGTCATTTTCGTGACCTCACCATTATAAGTCAATGGGGAAAAATTCAAACTGCTATTCTGGCGCCGGCAACGATCTCCAACTATCTCAAGCACACAGAATCGTGATTTGATGCACTCCTTGCAAGGTTAGATGCGTCACTTTTGCAATGTTGACCTTGCGTGACGTCATTTATGACGTCATCAAGGTCATATTAGTTTTTCGTCAATAACTCTTGATCAAATTGAGCTAGCGAGTCGGGAAAGCCACCAATGGACTCAGGAAGACCTGCCGAATCGAATGATATGCGACATGACCTCTTTCGACCAACTTCGTGACCTGGAGGTGCTGACCTGACCTTGACCTGAGGTCAACACCCCAAGTTGACCTGACCCGGACAAAAAGTATATCATTCGACGCGCCTGAGCGAGACGAACACGATGCTGCCAAAATCGGCGCTCTGCGGCCGTTTTTTGCGAAGTTATTCACCAAAAACTGAGCCGTACCTTTGGGCACTTGACCTGACCTCAGAGGTCACCGGTTGACCTAGGACCTTAAAATCGGGTACCAATCTCTGCGTCTCGTAACGCCGCACACGCTCGTTTTTTCCGCGACGCGCTAGCTCCACCAGGGGCGAAACGGCGAGGGGGGGGGGTCGTACCCGCCCCCCCCCCCCTCGGCCGGCGCGTATGTAGAAAACCAATAGGTCCGGCGAGGGTTAAGTTATATAACAAAACACCTCAAAACTGTCCCTTAACGGTTTTACGGTATATATTTTTATTTTTTTTCTCAAAAACTTTTCGACTTTTCGAAAAAACGGAGTATATGTGATAGAACACATGCTTATGACTTACTCTAGCAAATGTTAGCTAAATATCTTAAAAAATGGCCAAGTTATACGCGTTATTGCAAAAAATCACAATTATAATTTTTTTCAAATCAATTTTTCAGTACGCATTTGACATTGTACACCAATATAAATAGCACCATCGTGTTCGTGAGCTCAAACTGCATCCAATGGACACCTTTTTTGTTGAAAAATTTTAAGTTCAAAATTTGACCTTTTTTGACCTGAAAGTGACCTGACCTAAGCTAAATTCAGCTCCAAATGACCTCAAATAACACAGACGACATCAAATTCGAAACCTATGGCCTAAATGGACCATAAAACATGTGTCACGTGACCGATGCATGATATAATATTTCCGTGACCTGTGATGACCTGACCCTGACCTGAAAATCAAAGTACAAGTTTGGTACCCTCAGGGTATCAAGAACATCTGTTTACGAGTGTGTAAACCAAAATGAGCCTGGTCTGACTTGTAAGACGGCGGCCAGAGCCCAAAATATGAACAAGCCAAAATGCTAATAATTTTTACTTTACGGTAAGAAAAGTAAGTTTTTAGTTATGTTTCTACTTCTAAATTCAGCTCCAAATGACCTCGAATAACACAGACGACATCAAATTCGAAATCTATGGCCTAAATGGACCATAAAACATGTGTCACGTGACCGATGCATGATATAATATTTCCGTGACCTGTGATGACCTGACCCTGACCTGAAAATCAAAGTACAAGTTTGGTACCCTCAGGGTATCTAGAACATCTGTTTACGAGTGTGTAAACCAAAATGAGCCTGGTCTGACTTGTAAGACGGCGGCCAGAGCCCAAAATATGAACAAGCCAAAATGCTAATAATTTTTACTTTACGGTAAGAAAAGTAAGTTTTTAGTTATGTTTCTACTTCTAAATTCAGCTCCAAATGACCTCGAATAACACAGACGACATCAAATTCGAAATCTATGGCCTAAATGGACCATAAAACATGTGTCACGTGACCGATGCATGATATAATATTTCCGTGACCTGTGATGACCTGACCCTGACCTGAAAATCAAAGTACAAGTTTGGTACACTCAGGGTATCTAGAACATCTGTTCACGAGTGTGTAAACCAAAATGAGCCTGATCTGACTTGTAAGACGGCGGCCAGAGCCCAAAATATGAACAAGCCAAAATGCTAATAATTTTTACTTTACGGTAAGAAAAGTAAGTTTTTAGTTATGTTTCTACTTCTAAATTCAGCTCCAAATGACCTCGAATAACACAGACGACATCAAATTCGAAATCTATGGCCTAAATGGACCATAAAACATGTGTCACGTGACCGATGCATGATATAATATTTCCGTGACCTGTGATGACCTGACCCTGACCTGAAAATCAAAGTACAAGTTTGGTACACTCAGGGTATCTAGAACATCTGTTCACGAGTGTGTAAACCAAAATGAGCCTGATCTGACTTGTAAGACGGCGGCCAGAGCCCAAAATATGAACAAGCCAAAATGCTAATAATTTTTACTTTACGGTAAGAAAAGTAAGTTTTTAGTTATGTTTCTACTTACCATTGATTTCATTTTCGAGGATTCCTGCCTTAAGCCTTTTGTTCACTTTTGAGACCTGCAAACAAAAACGCAAGGTAAACACGACTGTGATTATTTGACCCAGGGTAAAGTAGCGTTTAAAGCAGCTCACCGCCGAATCATTTTCACAATCAGGGTGGATGATGTTACTTAAGACGAACAGTGCAATAGAGTATATAAAGTACCTGGTTTTGTGGTTTAACTCATAATTTACATATTTATATTCAAGTAATTCAATTAAATTAGGATAGGTAGCCAATTCGTTACATATGGACAATGTCAAAAATGAGCGCCAGGTCGAGGTCAAATCAAATCCAAGCCGACTGAGGTCAAACTTTGATGTTGACTGTTAACTCGCGCACCGAGGGGGCTCCGGACCACCTTCGAACCGACGGGGCGGAGGCGGATACCTGCCCCCGGGATATCTTGAGAACACAGTAAGCTAACAATAAGCAGGTATACAAAGATCCTCAGTCATTCGACTTTACATTTACACTAACAAAAAAAAAGATCTTACCTTGCCGATGTTTGCTTTGCGTACTACCACTTCCTGGCGGCTGTGACTTCTATTGATGTATTATACCTGCGAATGTATTAGCAAGTTACAATTGATTTACACATTAATATGCTTCAAATCGTTATATCTGAAGTGGAATGTATAAAGACACATCTATTGATTTACACATCAATATGCTTCAAATGGTTATATCTGAAGTGGAATGTATAAAGACACATCTATAGTTAACGCTTGAATTGTGAAACAGTTCATTATTTACTGGCATTATTAAATTGTTTACCATATGTGATGTTTAACTAATTAGATCCGTTCACCGAAAACACGAAAAGTTTCGTGAAGGTTTTTAGGTTGTAAATAAAATTTCTTCAAAATATTAGAGCACGTGATTCCTGGCATCAAGCTCTAAATATTTGGCATTTTTCATATAGAAGAACAATTTATTTTAGTCAAGGGCGCCCGCGTAAAAGAAGATTGTATCATTGAAATAAATATCTGAAACTCATACCCATCTCACGGGAGCTAAGTGGGGATGATAAATTAACTTATATTTTTGTAACATTACAAGTTGGGTCAAAGTCGGTGCACGGTTGGGGAACAGTTGATCATTATGTATTAGAATAGCGAATAGTGTGGTTAATAAGCGAATAGTTGGAAACAGCAAATATCTGTCGATACTTACATTGTTGCTGAAGGGTAAGCACAACACTTTGACCACTGTCATAAACAACAACAAACGCGGTTTATCCATGGTTTCATCTACTAACCAAATTGGTTTACAAACCGACCGTAATAAAGCACAGATTAGGATTTCATAAAAATATAATAAAAATCATAAATTCTAAATAGAAGTGATTTATTGAAAAGTCCAAACCTGCAGATACGAAAACATGCCAGGCAATTTGAATTCTTACGAGCGAGCGAGCGCAGCGAGCGAAGCGAGTCTTTTCAATATAACGGAAAAATCTCAGTATGAGCGGCCCGGCCCTACGGCCCGGCCCGGCCTGTAACGCTTTTGAGAGGCTTATATCTCAGCAGCCGCTGGACCGATTGGCCTGCGGTCTTTTTTGCTGGGTAGCCCCATCCCTTCTACCCCGTAATTGACTACTTTTGATACATCTCAGTGACCGTCGTGGCACGTGCCACGTGAAAAGTCAAGGGTGTTCAAGCTGTTTTGGAAAAGTAGTGATTTTGAGAGGCTCATATCTCAGCAACCGCTTGGGCGAATGACTTGCGGTAATTTTTGTAGGGTAGCAGCATCCCTTCTACCAAATATTGGATACTCTCGATGCATGTCGGTCACCCCCATTGCACGTGCAAAGTACAACAATAAGAGGTGTCAAATTTGTTCCCATTTTAATAACTCGGTAATTACTGGGGCGATTTCGCTGAAACTTGGCATACAGGTAGGCACCCACTGCATTCCCATGTGTTGCGGTTAAGGTGCTACTGCACGTGCGCACATGCAGGGGGCGCTTCCAGATCTCGAGAACGGCTGGGCCAATTGCGCTCAAATTTGGTACACGGTTGGGGACCAGTAAGAAGGGTGCCGTGCAAAAGTCAGTTTGGACCCCGTTTGCACGTGCGCATGTGCAGAATGCCGCTTCCAGATCTCAGGAACGGCTGGGCCGATTGCGTTCAAATTTGGTACACCGCTAGCGACCGGTTAGAAGGGTGCTTTGCGCAAGCCCGTTGGAAGTACCCTCTCGCCCTTCTGCACGTGCAGGGCTCACTATCTTGCTCGCTCGTTCTTCGCCCAAAAGGCGTTTTACTGGTCTTACAACATACCTATGCTGAAGGCCAGTGTCCCAAATATTTGTTTATTTTCGTTGAAAATGACATTCAGACAAAAATTACTTTCCACTCTCATCTCCATTTTTAAGTGCAACAATTTTCCACTCCCAATTCTTAGACAATAATAATGTAATTGCATGGTCGTTTAAAAATCAACCCTCGCCCGTATAGGGGGTTGGAACGGTCCTCCTCGGTTTATCGCAAATAACTTGCGTAAAAAGCGGCCGATCGTGACGAAACTTTAAGTACTCTCGAGATGATGAATGTTACACCTACCCTTAAAACTTCATGCCCCTGACCCAAATGACCTTTGACCTGTGAACTACTTTTTGAGACCATGTTTTGCCAGAATCGCGATTCGGCACATATCGGCTCGCATTAGCCGCGCGTTTGCAGTCTTTTCGTGGTTTCAAGCATTCGGTACTGGATGATAATAATTGATTGAAATCACCAAGGGATGGATTAGTCACATGGTTTACGGGTGACACTCATTCATCGAGAATGTTTTTCAATAGAAAAACACAATTCTAACGAATAGTATTTGTCTAATGAAGAAACAACCTGCGGTTACGCCGCAAAAACGCCCGCCGCCAAACGAGAGGATGAGCCTTGCACGTGCAGACCGGAGTGGGTGTGCTACGAACTGACGTGCACGGCACTCTACTAACCGGTCTCTAGCGGTGTGCCAAATTTGAGTGCAATCGGCCCGGCCGTTTCCAAGATCTTGAAGCGATCCCTACACGTGCGCACGTGCAGCTGCACCCCAACCGTGGCACATGAAAATACATACTAACTGACTTGTGCACGGCACCCTACTAACCAGTCTCTAGCGGTATGCCAAATTTGAGTGCAATCGGTCCAGCCGTTCTTGAGATCTGGATGCGTTAGCCTGCACGTGCGCACGTGCCAAATGGGTCCTAGATGACTTGCGCACGGCACCCTACTAACCGGTCTCTAGTGGTGTGCCAACTCTGAGCACAATAGGCCCGGCCGTTCTCGAGATCTGGAAGCGTCACCCCAGCCGTAGCACATGGAAAGGCATGGTCCGGCGGGTGCCTATATCCTTGTCAAGTTTCAGCGCCATCAGCCCAGCACTTACCGTGTTATTGTCATTACAACAAAAGTGACACCTCTCCGTTTTACACGTGTCACGTGCAGTAGGGGTCACCCGCATGCATCGAGCATAGTAAAATACTTGTAAGAAGGGTATGAGCTACCCCACACACAAAACCGTAAGCGTATCGGCCCAGTGGTTGCGGAGATATACGTCGTACAAAAACGTCCCCACGGCGGCCGGACGCTAATATTTAGCGTTAAATTCATGTCGCATCCTTTTATGGGAGGTATCGCCGTCACCTGTGCGTATATTGTCTGAGCCAAGGCCATATATGACAGGGCCATATATGTCAGGGTCATGATCGAGCGCTTATTGAACGGCATGGACGTATTTTTACGCCAGGGTCTCGCCGCACGGTTGCGTGTCATATACTCACATCCGAGCAGTGGTAACATTGACAAGTCCTGCAGGTAATTATTTTCTTTTGAGCAAGCGGTAAGATAGCTTTACTATGTATCAGATAAAAAGTAGCTCAGCAGTGGTGTGCCAGGTAGAGGTTGTTTTGCCGACATTTTGAGTTCGTGTCTGATTTCAACACGTGGCACAACCCCTTAGCGTTCACATGCATTTGTAAGTAGCTACATACATACATTTGGAGGTATACAATCTAAGAATAATTATGTTGGGGTATTCATCACTACAAGTCCAGTAGCAGCCATGAAGCATTAAAAAGCCTCCCCGCAGGCATGCAAGGTGACCACAAATGTCTCCATGTGCATACACATTACACACCTGGAAAGTCTGTAATGTAAGTAATGTTTCTCGTGTGTTTATCTATGATTTCCGATTTATGTACTCCACCAGCCTGAAAATGGCGTCACAGAGCATAACAGTCGAAAATGGATTATTATTTTGTATTTAATCATCTTTGGCTGACGTCACAGTTATCGGTGACGTCATTACTCGCGTCTCCCGGAGCTTTGACACTAGTAATAAGCCACTGTTCATAATGTTCTCGATAAATACGTGTACTGTGCATCACGGTAAATAGATTTCATTGACAAGTCCTGTAACATTGGTAACATTGTAACAAGGTAACATTGACAAGTCCTGCAGGTAATTATTTTCTTTTGAGCAAGCGGTAAGATAGCTTTACTATGTATCAGATAAAAAGTAGCTCAGCAGTGGTGTGCCAGGTAGAGGTTGTTTTGCCGACATTTTGAGTTCGTGTCTGATTTCAACACGTGGCACAACCCCTTAGCGTTCACATGCATTTGTAAGTAGCTACATACATACATTTGGAGGTATACAATCTAAGAATAATTATGTTGGGGTATTCATCACTACAAGTCCAGTAGCAGCCATGAAGCATTAAAAAGCCTCCCCGCAGGCATGCAAGGTGACCACAAATGTCTCCATGTGCATACACATTACACACCTGGAAAGTCTGTAATGTAAGTAATGTTTCTCGTGTGTTTATCTATGATTTCCGATTTATGTACTCCACCAGCCTGAAAATGGCGTCACAGAGCATAACAGTCGAAAATGGATTATTATTTTGTATTTAATCATCTTTGGCTGACGTCACAGTTATCGGTGACGTCATTACTCGCGTCTCCCGGAGCTTTGACACTAGTAATAAGCCACTGTTCATAATGTTCTCGATAAATACGTGTACTGTGCATCACGGTAAATAGATTTCTGCGACGCTGGACGTGGCCGAAAAAAAGACGCGGAAAGTGAGTAAGACCTACCTGACACACGGGACAGTTGTTTTGAACATCACCAGTTGAGCCACGAGGCATCCATACCAACGAAGAGTTTTCCATCTCTTGGTATATTAGGCATAGCCTAATATTCCAGGCAGCGGCACGAGGAGCCGGATGGAGGAAACATGGATGCACGCTTGGTAAGGACAGGATTGTATATCAGGACGTGAGCTTTACCAAAAGGCATCCACGCACCGCGCTGCCCGCCCTTGACGCAATTAGCAAATAAGTGTTGGCTCCAAATGTGATAGCCAAATTTTTACCAAATCAGTTCAAGTACCAAATTTGAATGTTTTTACTGAGAAGACTACGTCAAGAGCCCGTTACGATGTAACGGAGTACAAACCAGCCACTCCACACCAAGGCAGTCCCTTTCACACGTAGGGGAGACCCGGGAGGTATGGGCCGGTTTTGTGAAAAGGCAATTTTCTTCCAGTGGGTAGTGGCTAAACCCGGGTTTTCACTCTGTGTACGTGAAATTGCCTTTCGCCTGCAAAGTGTGCCTGATATTAGGCAGCTGGGATCAACCAATTTTGTCTCGAGATACCTTTCAATAAATCATGCGCTTTTTCGACCCGTTAAAATACACCGGAAGGTATGGGCCATGGCCCGGGAGGTATGGGCCGGTGCCATGTTTCATATTCTTTTCTCGACAATGAAAACAATACTCGCAGCTGGTATCCAGACTGGTTTTTTATTCACCTTTTTTGGATCGATTCAATCATTGATTCATTTGATTTTTGTTTGATTCAATTACCGTTTGATTCCTCCAAAAAAATTAGTGAATCGATTCCTTTTGATTCAGAGAATCAAAACACAATAAAAGGAATGATTCACGTTTGATTCAGCCAATTTTTTATTTGAATGATTCTTTTTTGATTCAATTAAAAAATAAAACATACAAAATATCAGGGATAGCATTGTATTTGTTGTGTTCTTTTTGTTGTCATGTAATGGCAGTAGTGTTAATATTTGTTGATAATGAACTATGTTCGTTCACTTCATTTTTTTTTTAAGTTCATGAATCATTAATTTTTTTGATTCAATCAACCCTGATTCCCAATGCGTTTGATTCAATCATAGCTTGTGAATCAAACAATCCTGACGGTGAATCAAACCTTTTTGCTTCAACAAATTTTGTTTGATTCAATCCAATCGATTCAATCACAGATGAATCAAACACCAGTCTGCTGGTATCTACCTTGATCTCTCTTAGAGCCCAGGAACCGCATAAGCGGCCAACAGCTTATTTTATAGAGGTCACTTGGGCACATATGTATTTTGGTAAGCTCAACCATGTTCCAGTCTTAACCCGCGACCGCCTGGGGGGGGGGGGGTCGGATCCGACCCCCCTCGGTTTTTCTTGAATAACTCATGAACGGCTAACGCTATCTACTTGAAACTTGGCATACCTTCTTCTTCATCAATTTGACGTCTCCTGTGCAATTTTTTAGAAAAAAAAAATCATTTTTTTTAGATATATCGACTTTAGTGATGTAACTACATGGCGTTTTCAGTCAAAAAATGGTAAATGTTTAAAAAATCGCCAAAAATCGAGGTTTTAAGCAAATTGCAATTTAAGGACATGAATAAACGCAGCTCAACGAGTTCTTTAAAATGGCTATCTCGGATTTTCCATAAAATGCGTTTTTTACCCCTAAAAATTCAAAAAACTATATTTTTTGGAAAACAGCTAATAAAATCCAAAATTTTGGGAATTTCCAAAAAACCGGAATATATGTTATAGAGCTCTATTAGAACATAAGATGTCCCAAATTTCAACTTTCTATCTTGATTTTTGACCCCCAAATTGTAAAAAATAGTTCCAACATGCATAGGGCATGGTGACGTCATAAGCATTTTCGTGAATTAGAGGCATTTCTGAACATTGCATGTGAAAACAAATGGCACCACTAGATTCCTGGGACAAAGCTCGTCTAGAAAAGTGCATTTTTATGTCAAAAATAAAAAGTGGAAAAATTGACCTTTTTTCTTAGCCCTCGTTTAGTTATGTATGGTATAAACGATTTTTTATGCTTTCAATGCACACTTATCACCAGCACAGTGACTTGGGGTCACATATAACCATTACCATCGGATTCGGCGTGAAAAATAAGCCATAAAACATGTGTCGCACGCCCATGTAGCAGAAAGTGAAAACCGTGACCTTTCGTGACCTGACCTGACCTTGACCCGTGCTGAGTATGACCCCTATACGCACATGGTACCTTCACTAGGCCTTTGAGGTCATTTTTGGTGAGTTTCGAGCAGCAGCTATCGATTCCGCTGTCCGTAAGCCTAATCATGCAAAACCCCTGAATTTGACCTTTGACCTGACCTTGACCCGAAAGTTGACCTCAATCTCAAAATCTTAAGAGTGCTTTGGGAAGGTCTTGTAGAGACC